TGGGAGCGGTCTGGCTTTTCTGTGGGGATCTTAACATCGAGGGCTGTACCAGCTGCTGCGTGGTGCACTGGCCGCTTCTGTCGCGGGTCAGAGATGATTTAGCAGACAAGTTTTGCGTCTCCTGAGAAAATTCGAGATATGGGTTTTTATCTTAGTACAAAGCAAAATTCTTCTTTAGCGCACTATTGCTTTTCTCTTGCTGTGGGTTCTTGCAGTTTCCAAAGTTGGAACCATCGTATAGGATTTTATTGCCAGTTAAAGAGTTACTTTATGTAATTAAATCATCAACTCTCTTACAGGAGATGCTAAAACGGAACAAAAACCTGGTGAGAAAAAGAGGGGAGTGAAGAGACCACGTGAAGACCATGGCCGTGGATATTTTGAATACATTGAGGAAAATAAGTACAGCAGGTAAATAAACTTGATGCTGGGCAGCATTTTGTGAATGGGAAGTAGTAAGGTACAGCCATGCTTACTTTAACAGCGTGAAAATACATGTAGCTTTAGTGTCTTTTGTTCTTGTTTTGTGCAGGGCCAAGTCCCCTCAACCACCTGTTGAAGAGGAAGATGAACATTTTGATGACACAGTGGTTTGTCTTGATACTTGTGAGTAAACATGCTTTCCTTTACTTCGGAAAGATGTGGTGTTGCGCTTTTAATCTTAAAACCACACTTTCTGAAATGTGGGGTGAATACCTTTATTGACTTTCATTACCAAGTCATATTAAAAAAAAAAAATCAGAAATGGTATTTCCAACCATTTTCGGTATACAAAAGCACAGGAGGCACATATGGGTCTTTATATTGGCAGTAACAAGCTTGGTTTTCTCATGAAGTCTCTGATATCATACAATTTTCTGAAGCAATCTTGACCAAAACACTAACCTAGTATGGAAACCAAGATGGCCAAGTGTATAGTGAGCATAGAACACCCTAGAAACAGCTTGAGAAACTAATTACGTAGCACACGAGCTTTTCGCTTCAGAAAGTTCTGAGAGTCAATAGTACAGGTGGTTACAGTAGTACAATTTGTGAAGTGAGCTTCCTGCATAACTTGCTGAGGCCCTATTTATGTACCAACCAGTGGAGTATTTTTCATGTTCTCTGATAAATTCAACAAAAAAAAAAGCAGGTAAGGCCTCCTGAAAAATGACCCATTCATGCAACCTGGGAGGTTGGGGGGTGATTTGTGCAAATGGAATGGCAGAGAGAATTGGTTGGAAGGGTGTAGAAATTGACAAGTACCTACAAACAACAGGGGTTTTCTTGAGGCAGATTATAAATGTTATTGTTACTGTGATGTACCATGACTGGGGCAAATTTGACATTTGTATTCTTGAGGGTAAGTATAAGGACTTAGTGCAGTATTAAAAAACCTAAATAAGCGATGCATGAATTTCTTGGATTCTTAAAGTGCCATGGAAGGAAAGCTTAAATTTTGGCGTTATCTGGCATATTTGCTAGTAGTTCCAGGTGTTTTTTTCCCCGAGAAGTGTTTTGAAATGGAAGGAGGTATTAGTTACAGCCATGTAAATTGCTGAATATGCCATTCTTGACATTTTGGTAACTAAATCTCAAGTTTCTAGCTGCTAACCTGGTGAGTAGCCACCTTTGTGGGAGCTGATTTAGTTCAAAGTGTCGGCAGACTGGAGATCAGAATCAAACATAGCTTTAAGACTGAATTGTGTAACAACCTGGCGCTGTCTTTTCTGGACTATAATGATCCAGACATATAAGAGGTTTAGCACTCTTAAGGGCTTTTTATTACCTGTGTCTTACAAGGAAACTGTAACTTCAGATTCTGTTCTCATTTGTTGTTGTAAAAGTAACCTACACAGGCGGGTCTCTTCTGTGTGATTTTATTTGGTTTTCATGCAGTAAATAAAAGTTAGAAGTACTAATGAGAAAACACTTGGATCACAAATATTGTAGTTGCAACTGCAGGTGGCTTTATGCGAACAAAACAAGATCTCATGCATGAGAGTTACCAGTAATACAGGGAAGACTGCATTTTAGTGTACTTGGGCAGCATGCAGGTTTTATACCAGGGCAGAAGAACTCACTCACTGCTTGCTAATTTTGCTCCTTTCTTGTAACTGTCAAATAGGTTTGGAGTTTCTTCAATGGATTCCTTGCTCTGGGGAATTCAAGTGCTATATCCTGCACCTCACGTTACCTTTTTGCATTGTCTTTTTGAAACCTACTAGAAGATTAATTTGAAACTTCCTGGTGCTGCAGCTCTGAAGATGTCTGTAAAACAAAGGTTCCACTTAAGTTCTTAGTGATAGGTGAAGTCATAGTGCAGATCGTGTTACTTAGGGGAAGTAAGTTCTCTTAACCACATTCTGCGTGCTTAAACCATCTGCATTTGACTTAACTGACTTTATTTTAATTGGCTTAATCTAATTGGACTTGCTAAATGACTATATTAACCAAAGATGGTACTACTTCCAGTACTTAAACAAAAATACTTGTGTTTCTATTTACTTCTCAGCTGCCCTTAGGTTTGGGCACGAGGGGTAAGAAGACTTCAAAAAAGGTATCTAACAATAATGCAAAGAGCACGATGCAGATTCCTTTGTTCTATGTTGAGGGAAATACCTCAGGTAACTAACCAAAAAGGTTCAAATAGATGAGGTGAAATTCAGGTTTTTAAGCAGATGGAAAAAACAGGGAATTTGGTGACAGAAGTGAAGATGGCACCTTGAAAATTATTCTTGTTAGCTAGCTTTTCGTGAGATTTTTGGCTGAGCTTCAGCCTGCAGCTCTATCTAGGTGTGTGTTCAGTTGCTTTCCTGAAAGATGCTGAGCACTTACTGGCAGTTTGTCTTGAAAATCACCTTTGAAAGCTGAAATGACCTTTAATGCATAAAATTGGAGAGCTGTACTTTATTTTGTAATAGGAGTAAACAGAATGATTTTTTTTTTATGTTAACAGATAACTGTGACCTGCATTTTAAAATCTCAAGAGACCGGTTTAGTGCTTCCTCTCTGACCATGGAAAGCTTTGCTTTCCTTTGGGCTGGAGGGAGAGCCTCCTATGGAGTTTCTAAAGGCAAAGTCTGCTTTGAGATGAAGGTGAGTTAAACTGATGTTTTATAGGAGACTGTTTTGCATGCTTAAATATAATATTGTTTATACTTGTCAGTTTTTTGTGCTTAGTTGAAACTAATTCAGAACTTTCAGAAGGCCTTCTCTTAGGAGCCTGTGAAATGGTTCTTGATAAAAGATGGCTCAATTTGCAAAACTGCTTCCTCTTTTGTAAGAACTTCCATTTAACAAAAAAAAAGCAGCTTGCATTTGCCCTGAATGTGTAACTTCTGGTCTCATTTTTGAACCAAGAATTTTATTTGGCACTTAATGCGTGAACACTTGAAGAATTTTGATACTCGCTAGTCAGGTTTGCTTGTACTTTCTGAAGATTACAGAAAGCTTGGCTTTTTTTAAAAAGGGATATAAATTATTGCAGCAGCCCTTTTTTCTGTTCCTACTTAGTCTTTGAGTTTGACCTGCTCTAAGCAGGGATTTGGCCTAGATGACCTCCAGAGGTCCCTTTCAGCCTGAGTAATTCTGACTTGTGTATGCAGTGAATGTATTTAGTGTAGGTACTTGAATTTTGAGAGCAAGAGTTCTCCTAAAGGGTAAGAATGGCAAAGAGCAATCAGCCTTGTAATAAACAGATTTCTCCAACTTGTTGATGAAAGAATAACAGGAGGCACAAAGCTTGATTATTTTTTTTTTTACTTAGTGATGTTAAAGCCTTCTTTGCATATGATGTGCCTGTGTATATAAATGCTTACTCTGTTCTTTTCCTCTAGTACTTTCAAATCTAACCACTGCCATGAGGAGTGGGTAGTGATCTCATTCTCCATGCTCTTGCATTGAGTGATTTCTGTGTCTGTCAGTACCTATAACTTTGGTAGGCCAATGGAGTGAAATTGATGTCAGTATTTATTGCCCTGTTCACTTTCAAATCAGTTTCACCTTGGTCACCTGACTCGAATAGCTGTGGAAACTGGTAGGATACTGATCAGTTTTTCACTTTAGTTTGGTGAAATTTGTAAAGGCAGTTTGAAAATAGCTGGTTGCCTACAGATTCCAGTGCTTTTAGGTGGTTTTGGGTTTTTTTTTTTTGAATCTGGTTATGTTGTTTGGAAGCTGGCAACTTGCCCAGGAAATCTGCTTACTGTGGAAAGGGATGAGGGTAATATTTTCCCCAGTCTATGTAAAGCAATTTTTTTTGTCCATTACCACATTTTATTGGCAAAGTAATTTAGTGTTAATCCCAACTTTATGGCGATTATTTTCTAAAAACATGTATACATCTTGTTTGTAACTTTAATACGGTATCAAAAGGATTAAGGCTTTTGGCCACTGAGAGGGACTGCTATGACTAAGTGCTTTGAAGGTATAGGGTATCTTGCATCTTCATTGCTCAGTCAGGAGGTATAACTGTTTAGTGACTGGCTTGTGATTTCACATACTTAAGCATGTTTCATTTTTGCAGAAGGTGGTTACTCAGACTTAGCAAAGATTTGGAGTGTAAAGATTCCAGATGTTACCTTTGTGTTTCCATCTTGTTAGTGTCTAATAAATACTACATACCTTTTAATGAATAATTTAAAAATAGGTTACAGAAAAGATTCCTGTTAAACACCTGTATACAAAAGACATTGACATACATGAAGTGCGAGTTGGCTGGTCACTGAACACAAGTGGAATGTTGCTTGGTAAGACTTAAACATTTGATTACTTTTGTGTACGTGGTTGAAGTTTTAAGTCCTTTTTTCTTAAGCAGGTGGGAAAAGCTTAGTGATGGTAGTCCATGTGTTCTGAAAAGTGGTCTTAACTTGAACCATTCACCAGATATGGTGTAAAAAAGTTTATTACTGGGACCAAATAAAGTAATTAAGTATTCATGCCTATAAGGATTACATGACTTGAGAGTTAATTCTTTCAGTGGTCAAGTATGGGTTATGGAGAACATTCTTGAAGACCTGACAAGATTAAGGATGTCTCCTTTTCATGTGGTGTCATAAATAGGAAGAGGGTTGTTGTTTTCGTTCGTTTTTTTTAAAGGGTGGGGCATGGTATAAGATTTAACCAGTGAAGAAAAATTCCTGGATAACTACATTATCATTCTTTTGGCTTGGGGGGAGAATCCTCATTTCTGAAAGTAGCTAGGAAGAAAGAAGTACAACTTCATTAGATACATGGGAACTAATCATAATGGTATTTATAACTAATACCTGCTGCTGAGACACATCTTTGTGGGAAATGTATTTGAATTGATATGTTTTGAGATCAGCAGCAGCTTTCTAGTTAAGTTCTTAAGTTCCACCTGAGGCCTTGTGTTTGATGCTTCCTGTTAGCTTGTTCCTTGCAGCTTCATCCTCAGCTGTCGCATAGGCTGAATGTCTGCTAAACTCCCTTTAAAATGGGGAGGGGTAAGTGCTACTGGAGACTAAATTCAGAAAGCCTTTCTGACTAACTACGTTATAGGTATACTGGTGCATAATCAGGTCTTCAGAGTTTAAAAATACTTGGTCATGTCTTTATCCTGCAGTTCAGCTTTACGTCAACGTGAATCTGGAACCAGCAGCATAAGGCTCTTAAAACTGGGATGGGGGAAATACTGCTCTTCCATCTCAAGCGAGAGTGTTGAGTTCTTGAATACAGGAACGCAGTGTAGCTGTTTGGGGGTCATAGCTTGTTTTGGCGTTACTAAAAACATTCTGAACAGCAGCTTACTTAAGTAGCAGTAAAGTGATTATATTTCTAACGGGTTAGGTGAAAATGCCTGGTTTTAGTAAGTTTAAATTATTTCTTCAGGTGAAGAAGAATTTTCTTATGGGTATTCTCTAAAAGGAATAAAGACATGCAATTGTGAGACTGAAGACTTTGGTGAGAAGTTTGATGAAAATGATGTGATTGGATGTTTTGCTGTAAGTTTTCACTTATATTTTCTTCTGAGGAAAAACATGCTTGAATTGTTAGACTGCTTTGATGTGAGAAGCAGTAAACCAAATACAGAAAAAACTTGGAGCAAGACAAGTTTAACATAGGGAGAAGGCAGAAATAGCAGGTATTATCAACAGTGACTGCTGTGAACATGTTATGATTCCATATTCACAGACTAATATCTTTAAAGCCTTTTAAAAAAGAAAAGATCTTAAACGAGATTATCATTGACAGTAACTCACTTTAAGAGAAGGCTTTAAGTAGTGTCTTTATGATAAGTGTTACAGCAGTTGAGTAAATATAGCCAATATAGTGAAATTATTAATATAACTTTATAGAGCGAGGTGAGTAATTTTATCCAAACTAATGCTTTGTTTGAAAACCAGAATTTTGATGGTGATGAAGTGGAACTCTCGTATTCCAAGAATGGACAAGAGCTTGGTGTTGCATTCAAAATAAGTAAGGAAGTTCTTGACGGGCGGCCACTCTTCCCACATGTTCTCTGCCATAACTGTGCAGTTGAGTTCAACTTTGGTCAGAAGGAGGAACCTTACTTTCCTGTACCTGAAGAGTATACCTTCATCCAGAAGGTCCCCCTGGAGGATAGGGTCCGAGGACCAAAGGGACCTGAGCAAAAGAAAGATTGTGAGGTAGGTTTCTTGTTGATAATCTCAAAGTTGTTGAGAATAGATGAACAGAAGTGGCGGAGTTTAAGCAGAGTATTATATAACACTGACCTTTTTGTCTGGGGGCTTTAATACTTGGTATCCCATGATTCTTCACCCACCCCCCTGACACCCCCATGCCCCCCACTCAGTTTCCATTAGGCTTGCTGGTCTAAGTTGCATATTCAAGAAAATCATTGAACTAGTATCTCAAGTATAGAACCTGTTGTCTTAGGTGGTGATGATGATTGGCTTGCCTGGAGCTGGCAAGACTACATGGGTTACCAAACATGCAGCAGCAAATCCTGGGAAATACAACATTCTTGGGACAAATACTATTATGGACAAAATGATGGTAAGTGATAATATGACACTTTATTTGTTGATATGTTAAAGACTTGCTGTGAATCCAGGTCTTTGGCTGCCATGGGGTTCTTTTGTATCAAAGAAATCTAAGAAACTGGCTACCGGTTAGCTAGTGACTGTTAAAGATTTTTATCTTGCTGCTACTCATACATGGCACAGCAGGATTCTGAAGATGTTTGTGGTACTATATAAGAAATAGTCAACTGTTGTTGACTATTTAAGTATTTCTATTTCTTTTTATATCACTGTCCTCAGAATAGAACATTTAGCTTTGGATTAGTAATGTGATGAGTATACCTTAGATTCAGCTGTATTGATTCACCTAGATTCTTTGTTTATAAAGCTCTGTTTTATGGAGGCTTCAGGAGTTTCAGTTCTGAGTTTGTAGCCATGGCCTTGACTTGAACAATCCTCGAAGCGAGGTGAAAAGCATTTAGCAAAGAAAAATGTCAGCCGTGTGTTATCAGGGCTACTTTAACTCTGGGAAATCTCTCTGTAGGTTGCAGGTTTTAAGCGGCAGATGGCGGACACTGGAAAACTTAACACACTGTTGCAGAGAGCTCCACAGTGTCTTGGAAAGTTCATTGAGATTGCAGCTCGTAAGAAGCGGAATTTCATTTTGGATCAGGTAGAAGCTTCAGTGAAAAATGGTTAAAGAAATGTGCTTATAGGCTGTAGTGCAGTAATTAAATGGGATTAAAGTTACATTGTAATAGCAGTTGTTTCACTTACTGACTTACTACTCATTCAGGGGACGCAAAGTTGAGATATTACTACAAATGCTTGTCTGAACTTCTCTGGATTTATGGGATGTGGGAGGAATAGTGTTTTAACACATGGATATGAGCTCGTAACTTTGCATTATGCAGCATCTTTATGTCCAGTTATTTGTAAACTTCATTGCAAGCTCTTGTAGAGGTGAAGTCTATACACCATAAGTTGACTTCCTTAACTCTTACAATGACAGCTACGTGTAGTAAGTTACTGCATTTTTTTCAGACAAATGTGTCTGCAGCTGCGCAGAGGAGAAAAATGTGCCTGTTTGCAGGCTTCCAGCGCAAAGCAGTTGTTGTTTGCCCAAAAGATGAAGACTACAAGCAAAGAACACAAAAGAAGGCAGAGGTGGAGGGAAAAGATCTTCCAGAGCATGCAGTTCTCAAAATGAAAGGCATGGAACATAATCCTATACTGTGTTTTAGGATGCTGAGTATCTGTTTAAAGGATTAAGTAAACGTAAAGTCTAAAAAAATCACTTTATCTTAAACAGTTGTACTTAAACAAAACTGGAAGACTATTGTAACTTGTAGGACAACACTATATTGTGTTCCCTCTGCTGCAGTCCTTAACACTACTCAGTTATGCTGATATGCTTCATGCAGATGCACAAAGCTGTCTTGGCATAAAGTGCCCTATATAAGTGACGTATTTGGCAGAAACTGGTACTCTGAGTGGAGGCTTATAAAAGAAAAAAAAGATATAGGCAGAATGTTTTCAAGGTTTGGAACAGTACTGGCAACCCCATGAAGACCTGTTCATTTCTTTTGTCACTGTTACATTTCTTAAATGCTCAAATTATGTAATTTTGTCCCTATGCTGAGGGAATGCAGGGGGTGGGAGGAAGAATGGGAGAAAGGTGGTTAAATTACGGCTTTGATTGCAGCTGAATGTAGATGCTGAATACTCAGTGTTTTTGCAATTATAGGGAACTTCACACTGCCAGAGGTAGCAGAATGTTTTGATGAAATAATCTATGTAGAGTTGCAAAAAGAAGAAGCTCAGAAGCTTTTGGAACAATACAAAGAAGAAAGTAAGAAATCTCTTCCACCGGAAAAGAAACAGAACACTGGCTCAAAGAAGAACAAGAAGAGCAATAAAAATCAATTTAATAGGGGTCAGAGAGGTCGTGGAGGATTCAACATGCGGGGCAACTTCAGAGGAGGAGGTGAGCCTAGAAATGAGCCTGGAGATTGTGGAGGTTGCTGCTGCAGGGGAAGAAGAAAAAAGCTTGTAGTACTTGCATCGCAATTATTATGTAGTAGGAACCTTGATTTCAACTTAGTAAGTTTGATGTATTAGTGCAAAGTTAATTGTCTGACTTTAAAAGTGAGGCTTGCCAAAATCCTGGATTACACTGTTCATGCGGTTTGAGGCACAGCTTTGAGTTTTTATGTTGGGTTTGGTGTTCGCTTGTGTACCAGGCTGCATTGAGGGGGTAGTGTGCAGTTAAATTGCCGTTTTTCACCATGACCAGATGACTTAATCTTTGCATTGAAATTTTTGCACTGAATTTGGACATCTTACTTCTATACCATCATCATTTTGAACAGTAATCTTCACGTAAGAATTACTTGAGACCTAACAATTACTTGATTGAAGTAACTCTCTTCCTGCAGTCCCTGGCAATCGAGGTGGATACAACAGGAGGGGAGGCAACATGCCTCAGCGAGGTGGTGGAGGTGGCGGTGGTGGCGGTGGCAGCAGCGGTGCAATTGGCTACCCATATCCTCGTGGCCCTGTCTTTCCAAGCAGAGGTGGCTACTCAAACAGAGGAAACTATAACAGAGGTGGAATGCCCAACAGGGGAAACTACAACCAGGTGATGCTTTGGGGGGATTTATTAGTTAAACTACAGTACTTTGGATGATGTCGTTTGAAAGGTTTGGTGGCCGCAAATACCCACAAACTTGGTTGTGGTACTGCGCCTAATTCCACACTAAAAGGCCTAGCTTTGTCGTTCGGTGTATGTGCCCAGAGCTCTGAATGTTGCGGAAGTTCTGATGCTGACGTGGGGGTTCTGTGTGAAGACTGTACCTCTGTCCTGTTAAAGATTAAGATTTTTAGGACATGCGTGTGAAGACCTGTGTTTGATCCCCCCCCAAATAGTAGTCATTGTTGTTTGGCCTTAGGGTCAAGGTGTATCTTTATCAAGTGTTTAGGGAACTTTCGGCAAATAGCTCTGGAGAGAGTCTTTGTTTTGGTGTCTGGTATCAAACACAACACGTAAAGGCATACTAGCCTAGGTCTTACCTGGTGGAATATCAGTGGAAGTATTTGAAAACATAATTCGGATTACTGAAGAGCCAGCAGATGGAGCCCAAGCTAGTAAACATGGCTCAGGTTTGTCTCATACTGACAAACAGGGGAAATGCAATATTTTTATCTACTAGTATCCATGTCCCTTTTCTTTGTACCATAACTTACTTGAAATTTTGTGGACTAGCTCTTCTATTTTCAGTTGTATGACCCATATCCTTTTGTCTGATCAGATAACACATCCTTGTAGCAACTACAGCCTTTCCTAACTAAAAATAGGCAAGCTCTTGTATTTTTAGTTGTCCTGGTGCAGTTTAGCACCTGGAAATAGGGTGAGTCAAAACTGGATTATCCAGCTTTCCAGACCACCGGCAACAACAGTTTGAACTGGCTTATTGATTCTGAGGTTCTTGCCCCATTTTTAAGAAGCAGTTGCTCGGAGGGGGAGGCTTTTGGTATTCCAGTGTTTTTCAGGGATGCTTTTTGTTTGGTTGGTTTTTAACCTGGGCTTGATACCTTGTATTTGAAGGATTCTATATGGCATGTGATGTTTTGGTGGTAATAGAAAGATTGGTATTAGTACACTTCTGAAAAATCCATATAGATGAAGTAGTTAAAAACTGTTGTCCTCTTGCAGAACTTCAGAGGAAGGGGAAATAATCGTGGCTACAAAAACCAATCTCAGGGCTACAACCAGTGGCAGCAGGGTGTAAGTAGTCATAACTTTACCTTTTCACTGATTGTTAACTCGAATGTTTCAAAATGCTGTCTAAAATAACTAGATGTGTAATCAAAACTGGATAGCAAAATCTTTTAATGCCAGGTAATACTACTATAAATAGTTTTCTGTGCAAAACTTAATCTGGCTTGATGGTCTTGATATATCAAGTATCAGCTATGGCTTACCGGTCGCAATGGTATGTAGTATTTGGCCTCACGTTACTACTGTGAAGTGAACTTAACTGCCTTCAGTTGTTCAGGAACTTGCTGCTATTTGAGAGGACTTTAATCTTCTCAAGTTCAGGAGAACTAGATGTTTGTTAAACACTTCTTTTCTTTTTCCTGTAAGAAATGTAGCCATTACGTGATTACAGGTTAAAATTAACTATTTATCCATCTATTGCAGCAATTCTGGGGTCAGAAGCCATGGAGTCAGCATTATCACCAAGGATATTATTGAATACCCAAATAAATGAACTGATACATATTTCTCCAAAACCTTCACAAGAAGTCGACTGTTTTCTTTAGTAGGCTAACTTTTTAAACATTCCACAAGAGGAAGTGCCTGCGGGTTCCTTTTTTAGAAGCTTTGTGGGTTGATTTTTTCTTTTCTTTTTTTTGTACATTTTTAATTGCAGTTTTAAAGTGATTCGTAAGAGAACCTCAGCATTGTGCACGATAAGAGAATGTGTCAGTATTTCAGGGTTCTACATTTTATCTGTAAAATGTGACTTTTTTTTTACCACAACAAAAGTAAAACGTTGCTTTGTACCTGGTGTCTTTTTATTAAAGAATTTTCTCCTTTTTCCCCATCCCCCAATTTCTAAGAAACAGTCGTGAGTCATGTCACAATACGATAGAAATGTTAGCAACCAGATTCGTACGGGGGCTCCTTAGCAGCCCTCGTGAATATCATGAGATCATGTAAAGCTCCATATTACACTCCATCCTCTCTACGAAGCTTCTGGGTGGGGAGGGGAGGAGGGGGGAGGTAAAAGTTTCTGGCAATAACTAGGACTTTTTTGTAACATTTGGAACTCAATAAGATGTTGGGGGCAAAGAGGAAACCCAGGGCTAAATAGTGAAGGTGGAGTGTATGTAGAAGCTCTTAAAGTTGTAAAACTTGGTTGCATTATTTGTGGAGGCTCAAACTTGTGAAGGTACAACACCATAATTTCTTTTCCATTTGTTCTGCATTTTGATTCTGAAAAGAAGCTGGCTTTGCCCATTTCTTATTAAACAAAACTTGTTGTAAATCCAGTTGTCTAATGGGATCTATATGAATTGTGTTTCTGGATAACTCGTTCCCCACAAAATACTGTATACCTAGTGTGCTTGTAGTAGTTACTCCACCGTTTTGTAAGCTAATGGAACTGTGAGTCACCCATTTTATATCTAATTTTTAATCATGTCAATTCTCAAATGGGTGTATCTCCTTAGCCTGCTGATTCCTTTTCTCTTAAAGAAAGTGGGTGGAGAAATTTAACTCTAGACGTTTGTTTGCAATAAAATAAATTCATTTTACTCTTGTTTTGGGATTGTCGCCATCAAGGTCTAAAATCCCTTTAAGGCTATGAAGAGGAAGAGAATGTACGAAAGCGATGATGATGGACAGTTTTAAACTCATTACTGTGTACATGCTGAAATACTTGTGTTTCTTTAAAAATCTGAACTGGTGGTTGCTCTGTTAGAGATCTCTCACGTGTATAATCTCACAATTTAACATGGTTATATGTATAGGGCAAAAGCCTTTTGAGTTGCGCTTGCATCATGTAAATCCACTTAACCTATTTATTGTAAAATAGTCGTTAGGGAAGGAGCGGGGGAAGAAACCGGACAGGGAATAGGACAGAAGGAGGGTTGTCGTAGAGAATGCATCCTGGAGTTAAACAGAGCGCTTCACTTTGTTTTAACCGCTATTTTGTTCAGATTTACGCTTTTGTAAAATTGTAGTGGCAATGTTAGCTAATAATTTCCTTGCATTTTAATGCCGTAAGACAGGGGAGAGACGTAACCGTCGTAAGTCGGACTCGTGGTATGCGTGTGAAAACACATGCCACTGCCGGCTCCTGGGCGTTGGGATTCGCCTGCCGAGCTCCTCCTGGCAGTGTACAGACTAGCAGAGGCTTCTTGCCAGCAGCACAGACCTGGAGCTGGTGTAGCGTGCTTGAAACTTTTCTCAAATGTTAGTCGATTTCTAATAGTCTTCAGAAGTAACGATGAAGTTGTGTTGCTCTTCTAGCCTTTATAGCAGATGACATTGCATATTGACATTAAACATTAACAGCACCACCTCCTTGTTAATAGTGCTTTAAGTCATCCCTTTACTTTGAATGAGAAAAATGTAAATCGTCTCTAAAGAAACACTATTTAATGAACTAGAAATGTGGGGAACCTACCCCCAAACCTGTTTTGCTGAAATGGAATTTTCTTTAGACTTGCAAAGAAAGTTTAGTGTAATTAAAGTCCATCTCCCTTCGACCCTCCTCACAAGAACTAACACTTTGTATGGAGTGCTGATCCTTTGCTTATTTTGGTACTCTATAAAATTATATAGTCTTAAACTGAAATATAAGAGCCTACACTTACTACGTGGTCGTAAAGCTTGTATTTTAATTCAAAAGTCTGGGGTGTTTTGTTTTAAATTCTTCAATGTATGGTGTTTTAAAAAAAAAAAAAAGGCACACACGAGAGGGAGTGCCTCAATTGTCTTTACACTTGAAAGAGGAGTATCTGTTTCTACTAAAAATACTCCTGTATGAAAAAAGCTGGTTTGATAAGTTCAGCACTACCTGCTGCCCGTGTTCTGAGGTACGGAATTCAAAAACACTTCAGCACAAGCGCCACTCGGGCACGTGTAGTTCAGAAAGGTGACACGGAAGTCTAAATACTGCCCCCCTCCAGAGAGCACCGCTTGCCTGAGGCTGTGTGTTTGTTCAGCCTGGGTCTACCTGCAAAGGAGAGACAATCCCTCGATTTATCTTGGCTCTGATAATTTGTGGAGAAGGGATTTATTTTCCCATGTGAAAACAGCTTGTATAGAAAAGTTGTGACCTAGAAAATCACTAAAACACTTAAATTTGCAGTTTGTGTTTAAGAAAGGCAGTAGGAGACTTAGCTGATGGCTACAGAAAGGTGAGGAAAGCAGAGCTGTGTGTTACCAAAATGGGGGGGCCGAGCCATCTGTCATGTTGGGTAACTTCTTGCAGACTTGTTTACGTGGGGAGAAGTGCCTGTACTACAGCAGCCGCGCTGCCGGCGGCGGTGGTGCAGATGCTAGTGACAACACGAGTTTTGGGTTCATGTTTGGGTTTTTTCCTAAGGCAGTACAAACTGGGTTTGCTTTCTTCCAATTGAGGTGTGTTTTGTGTTTTTTTTTTTTTTCTCTAATGGAGTGCAAAGCTGGACAGCCTTGGAGCTGGTTCGGTAGCAGCAGAAACGTGGCACGTGATGCCTGTGCAGCTATTGGCAGCAGTAGCAGTAACGTTGCTGCTGGTGGTAGTCTCCTGGCAGCCCTGTCGTCTGAAGCTGCTTGCAGCTCGCCTTGCAACAGGTTGCAGCCTCCCTGCATTGCATGATGGTGCCAAGTGTGCCCAGCTGCGGACTGAAGGCAGGTCTGTGCTGGATGTCTCGGGAGGAAGTTCCCACTTAAAAAAATGCTCCAGTTGTATTTCTGCCTTTGCTGGCAACAGTCGCTAGGATACATACACACAGCGTGAATGGAGGTGCTTCCCTGACGCAGCGTGGTAGCGGCAAGGGGCTGTGTCCTGGGCGCTCTGGGAGTAAATGGACTTTGTGAATAGACTCTTACCTGTGGGACGTCAGGGCCTGGCTTTTGTTCTGGGGTGCCTTACGGGATCCCTGTCCCCAAACCCCGGCTCTGCTGTCACGAGCTGGCCCTTCCAGCGCGCTGCGCTGTACCTGCGCTGCATGGGGAATACTCAGCGGTGCTGTCGTGCCTGTGTAGGAGCTCGGTGTAAGTGGCACCTGTACACAAGTTCCTTTCAGTGCCTATTGCAGAATAATCCTTGATCGGCAAAGACATTTTTAGAAATTCTGCCCCAATTTTTCTGATAGCGGAACAAATTAAACCCGTGTCCCGGCAATGCCATGTGCAGTCCATGCCACTTGCATTAAAAAAATTTCTTCATGGTGTAAGCCACTAGGGTTTTTTTTTAAATCTCTTGCAACACTCTTGACCAATGTTTTTAATAAAAGTAGGTGATGAAGTCATCTTTTTAAGATTCAGAGGTTTCCTTGTTCATGACCTTTTGGAAAACTAGGCCAGTGCTTTCTAAAAGTGCAACCTCAGACTAAGCCACAAGAAATCAAACTGAGTTACAGAGAGACGTGAGGTACTTCACTGCTTCTGCAGATGTTTTAACTGCCAGAGGTTGGACTCTCCCAAGCAAAGAAGTGTGCGTGTGCTGTAGTTGTGAAATAGTAAGGCAGGAGTAAGTACGGCTGGAGCCGTCTCAGCCTGAAGCGCTGTGGAGGATGGGGAGAGCTCCAGGATGTCAGGAAAAGCTGCGGAGAGGAAAGCGGTTTTGGCTCTGTAACTCCGGTGTTAACAAGCCGACTGTGGTGGAGTTAGAGCAGCGCCTCTCTCTCTCACGCACAGTTCACCTCATCCTAGACAAAGCCACCCCGTGTAGGTGGAGGGGGCAAGGAGGCCTCTCCTTATTTTAATAGCGGATGAGCGATTTGTTTCGTGCAGCTTTTCTCCTTCGCTCGGTGACCGAGGCACGAGCTGTCTCCTCCAGTGCAGCGGGCCTCTCTGGAGCGAGCCGTTGCAGGGAATCGGCTGAAGTCGGGACTTGGCCAGTAACTGGTCTGGATGTGGCTATCGCCTGAAGTTTTGTCTTTCTGCCAGTACTGGGAGCGGCAGGAAGACTCGGCAATGGATCAGTTGCTACGTACACTCTGCTGTAGCTTAAAAGAGATGCTAAATGCTTAACACATTGCCAGCGTCAGAAGAGAAAAAACAAAGGCAAATGTAAAAAACCTTATAATTACTCATGTGGGTGACTTGATATGCAAGCGTGACTTTACGGCAAGTTTCTTTCTTCTCTTTTCTGGTTTAGCAGACAATCTCCGATCTGCAGAGTAATTTTGGTCCTAAAAGTTACTGAAATCGAAACTACGGGTAAGACAGCTCAGCCAATTTTTCCCTCAAACTTTTTCATGCTCAAAAAATTTTTACGACTCGGTAGTCAAGGGCAGATGCAATTTACACTAAATAGTGATTCGGGGATCTGCTGCCTGGTTAGCGCACAAGGATTGAGAGGGCAGCCGCTTTTCTCAGTGTTAATTCTCCCTTAGCTAGGATCAGACGGCTGCTTACTAGGACACCTCTGATAACTAATGTGGCATAAAAATACAGGTATGTGTTTTCTGGTCTGAGTGTGGCCCTCGTTTGTGTCACATCAGCCTAGGTTAACTCTTCTGCCCCTCTGTGCTCTGGAGGTTCCCCCCCAAGTTCTAACAAGAACTGGTTTGCCTCAGACATGGGGAGGTCTGTGCTGGCGAGGAGCACTGATGGAGCACGAGTTCTGAAATGGTGCTGATGCCCAAGAGAGTTGTAAAATAAAAAGGCCCAGAATAGTGCTGAAGATCTCCCTGGACGTAAACGCATGCTTAAAATTCCAGTGATTGATTGTTTACAAGGTGAGAGACGCACGAAAGGCTCGATTCTCTTTTTTAGTCCCCGTGTAACCTATTCAGACACAGAGCTAGAGCTACGTTGGGGCTCTGCTGAACTTTCAGCTTTGTGGGGCTGTTGAGCAAGTAGATAAGATTAGCCCTTGCATTATAAAAGGACTTTTGTCTTTTATAATGGAGATTAAGAGATGGGGAAGAGGAAATGAGTAAGCCTCGTTGGAGGGATTTACTGTAATATTTTTTTCTGAAAGAAATGACACTTGGGGTTTGCTCACATCATGCTGAGAAACAAGATTCGGAAATAGTTGAGCTAGCAGAGGCGGGTCCATGTGCAGCATCGCATACAGGTTGCGAGCAGCGGAGCGACGTACCCAAAGCCTGGCAGCTCCGCATTGTGCACACTTTGTCTTCTCTGCTTTGTGCTCCCTGCTGCTGTCAGAGCACCTGGGCTGCTGTGGGGCCTCCAGCCCAGCCTGGGAGCGCTGCATTGGAGGGAATGAATTCCTGAAAGCAAAATGGGACGTTATCGTGTGGGTGGTCCTCTGCACCACACTGGGCTTCTTCTGCCACAGGTTTTGCAGATTCTCCATCTCTCAGTAGGTCGCAGAATCGCAGAAATGTTTTCGCAAGGCCCTCTGGAGATGTAGTCCAGCCTCCTGCTTGCAGCAGGACTGGCACCAGCGCTCGGGTCAGCCAGGGCTTTGTCTAGCTGAAGCTCAAAAACCTGCAAGGGCGGAAATTACACAACCTCTCCGGGCAACCTATTCCGGTGCTGCACTGCCCTCATAGTAAAACAGTTTGTCCTGCTGCCTGGTTGGAAGCTCCCAAACTCGAGTTTGTGGCCATTGCCCCTGCCACATCATCTGCAACTATCAAGAGGCGTTTGGCTCCATCTTTGTAATTGTCCTGCAGATAATATTAGGCAGTAATTAGGTCACCCACAGCCTGTTCCTCCTCCGACTAAGTCCAACTCCTTCCACTGTTTTTCCAGAGGACACGCCCTTGAGCTCCCTGAACACCTTGGGAGCCCTTCACTGGAGCCTCTACGGTTTTTCGACATCCTTGTTGACCGAGAGGCCCAAAGCTGGACAGCAATATTGGACACACTGCCTGAGCAGTGTCATGTACCAAGGGAAAAGTGCGTCCCTCGATTTGTTGGCCACACACTTCCTGATGGAGCCCAGACTGTGGTTCGCCTTATTTGCAATGAGAACACTCTCTTGGCCCACGTTCAACTTGGCATCCGCTGTAGGTCCTATCCTTTTCAGCAGGGCGGCTATTCAGCTAGCTGCTTCCCAGCCTCTAGTGTACACTCTATTATGCAAGCAGCTACCCTGTAATAATAATAATAATAATAATTTTAAAAAATAGTTTATTAAATTGTTAAATAGTAAGCCAAGCATCTCAAAAAGAAATATTAGACATAAATTACTTGTGCAGGTTAAATGTCTTGTGTATTCCCCCTGTTTGCTCTGAGAGACCTCGGAGAAAGCGGCTGTGATAGCGCAGTAAGAACTATTTCAGTACTTACATATCAGAGGATGCAACACGTAAACGTCACAAAGCGCATTTGGTTTCCAGACCTAAGACATTCCTTCAGTCATAGCTTTTGTATGAACTTGCCTGCCCCT